ACCGCAGCCCCTCCTTTTACATTGCAAACCCATTTTAAATGGCCAACCCAACGGGTGCTTGGTATGGTTAATGACAGCAGTACTGTTTTAAAGCATCCCCACTTGTTAACAAGGTTAAAAAAGCCAAAAGACTGTGTCTTACCATGGCTGCCTGCAAGCTGAAATCTGTGGCCTGGCACTGCGTGACTGATCTCTCACACCAAACCGGCAGGCCCTCAATATAAGAGGAAAAATGTGACTTTGTAACGAAAGCACATGTGCTGTGTGATGTGAACAGCAAAATCTAACGTGAAAGAGTGTACCCATTGTTCTCTAAAATGTATCTTTTTTAAACAACTCTCCCTTCTCCTCCACCAGCTGCAAATGTTGCACCTTCACAGAGGCTAGTGAATATTCGAAGAAGGAAGCGAAGGATGCGTGACGAAAGAGCACAGCAGAATGCGTGGAGGCAGTCAATGACTGATTTTAAAAAAGCCCAATATGAGCGAGAGGAGAGGTGGCGTGCTGAATCGCGGGCTGAAGAGGAGAAGTTGCATGCTCAAGAGGAGAAGTTGCGTGCTGAAACGCGGGCTGAAGATGAGAGGTGGCGTCAACTTGTACTCAGAAAGCAAGAGTCGATGCTCCGGCTGCTGGAGCATCAAAGTGATATGCTCCTGCGTATGGTTGAGCTGCAGGAAAGGCAGCAGGAGCAGAGACCGCCGCTACAGCCCCTCTGTAACCAACAGCCCTCCTCCCCAAGTCCCATTGCCTCCTCACCCAGACGCCCAAGAACACGGTGGGGGGGCCTCCGGCCACCCAATCACTCCAGCCTAGATGATTTCCAGTGCAATAAGTTTTAAAGTTTTAAAGTGCACTGTGTCCTTTTCCTTCCCTCCTCCCCCACTCATCCAGGCCTACCTTTGCAATTATCCCCCTAGTTGTGTGCTGAATTAATAAAGAATGCATGAATGTGAAGTAACAATGACTTTATTGCCTCTGCAAGTGGTGCTCGAAGGGGGGAGGGTAGTAGGGGAGGGTGGGGTTGTTGGTTTACAGGGAAGTATAGAGTTAACCGGGTGGGGGGGTGTAGGGGCGGAGGGTTCATCAAGGAGAAACAAACACAAGTTTCACTCCGTAGCCTGGCCAGTCACAAAACTGGTTTTCAACGCTTCTCTGATGCGCACCGCGCCCTGCTGTGCTCCTCTAACCGCCCTGGTGTCTGGCTGCGCGTAATCAGCGGCCAGGCGATTTGCCTCAACCTCCCACCCCGCCATAAATGTCTCCCCCTTACTTTCACAGATATTGTGGAGCGCACAGCAAGCAGCAATAACAATGGGGATATTCTTTTCGCTAAGGTCTGAGCGAGTCAGTAAGCTGCACCAGCGCGCTTTTAAACGCCCAAATGCACATTCCACCACCATTCGGCACTTGCTCAGCCTGTAGTTGAACAGGTCCTGACTCCTGTCCAGGCTGCCTGTGTACGGCTTCATGAGCCATGGCATTAAGGGGTAGGCTGGGTCCCCAAGGATAACGATAGGCATTTCAACATCCCCAATGGTTATTTTCTGGTCCGGGAAGAAAGTCCCTTCCTCCAGCTTTCGAAACAGAAGAGACTGCCTGAAGACGCGAGCATCATGTACCCTTCCCGGCCAGCCCACGTTGATGTCGGTGAAATGTCCCTTGTGATCCACCAGGGCTTGCAGCAGCATTGAAAAGTACCCCTTGCGGTTTATGTACTCGGTGGCTTGGTGCGCCGGTGCCAAGATAGGGATATGGGTTCCGTCTATCACCCCACCACAGTTTGGGAATCCCATTGCAGCAAAGCCATCCACTATGTCCTGCACGTTTCCCAGAGTCACTACCCTTGATATCACCAGGTCTCTCATTGCCCTGGCAACTTGGATCACAGCAGCCCCCACAGTAGATTTGCCCACTCCAAATTGATTCCCGACTGACCGGTAGCTGTCTGGCGTTGCAAGCTTCCACAGGGCTATCGCCACTCGCTTCTCAACTGTGAGGGCTGCTCTCATCCTGGTATTCTGGCGCTTCAGGGCAGGGGAAAGCAAGTCACAAAGTTCCATGAAAGTGCCCTTACGCATGCGAAAGTTTCGCAGCCACTGGGCATCGTCCCAGACCTGCAACACGATGCGGTCCCACCAGTCTGTGCTTGTTTCCCGGGCCCAGAATCGGCGGTCCACGGCATGAACCTGCCCCAGTAACACCATGATTTCCACATTGCTGGGGCCTGTGCCTTGTGAGAGGTCCATGTCAATTTCCTCATCACTATCGTCGCCGCGCTGCAATCGCCTCCTCCTCAGCTGGTCCTGGTTTTGCTTTGGCATGTCCAGGAGGCTCTGCATATACTCCAGGACAATGCGCGTGGTGTTCATAGTGCTCATAATTGCCGCGGTGATCTGAGCGGGATCCATAATCCCAGTGATAGCTATGGCGTCTGGTCTGAAAAAAGGCGCGAAACTAGTATCTAAAGACCAGGGGAAGAAGGGAGGGAGGGATGGAGGGAGGGGCGAGTGACGACATGGCGTACAGGTACAGGGAATTAAAATCAAGAAAGGTGGCTGTGCATCAGGGAGAAATACAAACAACTGTCACACAGAATGCCCCCCCCCAGAGCCTGGGTTTAGCGAGCCGTTGATTTGACGGAGGGAGGGGGGAAGGAAATGAATACAGAACAAATCTATTTTTTACATCTTAAGACGACAGTGCAGCATGACTGATAGCCCTCGGCATTGTCTGGGTGCTTGGTAGCAATGTAACCCTACGTGTGCCAGCCACATGTCTGCCAGCACCCAGATCGCCCTCGGCCTTTTCTGGGTGCTTAGCAGACAATACTTGGCAGAAAATAGTATACTACGACTGGTAGCCATCATCATCCAACGAGGACGGTTAAAGGCAAGGGGTTGCTGCTGTGTAGCAATATATGCTGTACAGTAGCCAGAAGGATCGGTAAAGGCGCTCAGGCTACAATAATCTATGAGCATTTCAGGCAACATGTAAATTTGTCCGACGAGGACGGTTACCAGTCGTAATAAACCATCTACTGCCAAAAGGCAAGGGGCTGGTGCAATGCAGCCCTACGGCTGCCAGCCCCACAGCTACCAGCATCCCGATCGCCGATGAAGGCTACCAGTCATGCTGCACCGTCTACCGCCAAAAGGCAGTAAGCTGCTGCTGTTGTTTAGCAATGCAGTCCCACGTTTGCCGGCACCCGGAAGACATATGGTGACGGTGAGCTGAGCTGAGCGGGCTCAATGCTTGGCGTGGTATGTTGTCTGCACAGATAAAAAGGCGCGAATCTATTGTCTGCCGTTGCTGTGACGGCGGGGGAGGGGCCTGACGCAATGTACCCAGAACCCCCCGCGGCACTGCTTTGCATCATTCGGGCATTGCGATCTCAACCCATAATTCCAATGGGCGCCGGAGACTCCGGGAACTGTGGGATAGGTACCATAGTGCAATGCGCCAGAAGTCGACGCTAGCCTCGGTACTGTGGACGCGGTCCGCCGACTTCATGCACTTAGAGCATTTTATGTGGGGACACACACAATCGGCTGCATACAACCGGTTTCTATAAAACCGGCTTCTATAAATCCGACCTAATTTTGTAGTGTAGACATAGCCTGAGAGTCAGAGGGTGTGCTGCTGGAGGACTGAGGAGCACAAGCATTATCAGACACCAGGAGGAAGGTCCTGTGGTGAGAATAAGGAAGGTGTTTGGAAGAGGCCATGGGGAAGTAGCCCAGGGAGTTTTAGCTGTCATGCAGCTGTTACAGGAGGCACTATAGACAGCTGCAGTCCACAGGGCCCTGGGCTGGAACCCGGAGTAGAGGGCGGGCCCGGGTTCCCCCCAAAACTCCCAATTGACCTGGACTGTGGGTTCTTCCAGAGGGGAAGGTTTCTGGGCTGTTCCCCAACGCACATGGTGAATCTCTGAGGCAAGAAAATCTGCCAATAAGCGCAGGACCCACCAAGATAGAGGATGAACTTTGTCACACATCCCTGGCACGTAAATACCTTGCAAAGCTGGCTACAACAGTGCCATACTTTCAGTTGATATTGTAAATCAGAAGCAGGCAGCATTCGCTCTCATAAATGTAAACAAACTTCTTTGTCTTAGTGATTGGCTGAACAAGAAGTACCACTGAGTGGACTTGTAAGCTTTAAAGTTGTACATTGTTTTGTTTCTGAGTGCAGTTATGTAACAGGTATGTGACAGGCCCTTTGGGATCAGAAGAACCCTTTCGTTGTTTAAATTGGCTTTAATTAACCACTCATCATGAAGTCTCCTATATGGGTGGTGAAACCAGGGCTGGCTACCTAGGGAGACTGCATTTCTGACTTCTTGTTAGCCAGTGTAGTGAGACAGAAGTTTACTTCTGTTGGTGGTTTGGTATATCTTATTGAAGAATAACCACCAGTTTGGGGTGAGTCTGCCCCATTTCTCAGCAGTTTGTCCTGAATTTGGTATTCTCAGTTGCGACCCACTGAGGCACGGTGATGGGGAGTTTGGCCGCACAGTGCCATATAGACACCAGGGGGCGGCATGAGACAGGGGGAGCACATGTGTAGCCCAAACTGGTACTGCTACTAAGAATCTCTGATCGCAGGTGCAGGGACTCAGACTCACCTAAAGAGGAATACCCACACGAATGGGATAAAACAATTAAATTTCCCCATACCATCCAGCTTCCAATGACCTAGTAGAAAAAACTGTTAGAACTTATAAAAAAGGACATGAATATGATAAATAGTGGGAGTACAGAAACAAAGCTGGCTTGCTTTCTTCCAAAATACAGATTTCCTCCTCAAATGATAAGAGGCTTTTCTTTCAATAGGAGAAAGTAATAAATCATTTGGATTTAATCCATACCAGAGCTTCTACCCTCTATACAGGTAACCAGTGCAGGGGACTAAGAGGGCAACTTATGCCCTCTGATTCCCCAGTGTAGATGTATAACATCAGTCACAATTGTGCCCATAATAAATAAGAGTAAATAATTCACCTCACTTGTCAAATGGATATATTGAACCATCTTCAATGTCAACAAAGTTTCATTGGACTCTTCAGAGAGAAACTAGAAGTAAAAAAGACCAAAACCCGTTAGAATCTCCATTCTGAACAGAAAATCAATTCTATGTGAGATCTTTAAAGAGCAGCAGTTGTTTCATGAAAAATCTTTCCAAATTAATTGTAATTCACACAAATATGCCAACATATCATTTCACTTCCCTCATGTTTTGTTATTAATCTACCTTTTCCATTTTCATGACAATTCTATTTTTGTGATTTTGTGCCTCTTAAAATATTCCATCATTGAAGAGCCCATTATCAAATATTTGTTCTGCATGTAGGTAATTATAGATTGTGGTGAAGTCATCCCCAGAATTGGACACAGTATTCCAGTAGTGGTTGCACCAGTACCCAAAATAACCTCTCTGATCCTACTTGAGATTCCTGATTAAGCATCATATTAGCCCTTTTGGCCACAGTGTCACATTGGAAGCTCATGTTCAGCTTGGAGTGAACATATCTTTTAGGAATTCATCCAATCTTGATATAAAAACTTCAGTGACAGTAAATTCACCATGTCCCTTCATAAGTTGTTCCCACAGTTAATTAACTTCATTGTTAAAATTTACTAGCCTGAATTTATTTAGCTTCAATTTCCAGACATTAGGTCTTGTTATGTCTTTGTCTGTTACACTATAGCAGTGGTCACCAACCAATCGATCGTGATCAATTGGTCAAACATGGAGACTCTCCAGGTCGACCGCGATCTCTGGCCGCGGTGGTGTAGTGGGGCTTCTGCTAAGGCAGGCTCCATGCCTGCTGCACACTCACGGTGCTCCCAGAAGTGGCTAGTGTAGCCCCACTGAGGGGGCAGGGGTCTCCGTACAATGCTCCTGCCTGCAAGCACCTCACCTGCAGCTCCCATTGGCCAAGAACAGGGAGCTGTGGCCAATGGGAGCTGCGAGGGCAGTGCCTGCAGAGTGGGACAGCGCGTGGTGCCACATGCCCCCCCCCGGAGCCTCAGCGCAGGGGTGCGTTGGCTCCTTCGGTGAGCGACGGGGCCACGTGGTGCACTAATGGCTGTCAGGGTGGCCTGGCTCATGATGGGGAGAAGGTGCCAATGTGCCTGAGCAGGGCTGGAGTAGACAGGGACCCTGCCTTAGCCCTGCTCCACTGCCAACCGGGAGCCGCAAGAGGTAAGTGCCCCCTAGCGGGAGCCCACACCTCAGCCCCCAGCCCCTGGAGCCAGCACCCCATGCCCCCTCCTGCATCCTGAACCCCCTCTTGCACCCCCTGTCCCAGCCCTGAGCCCCTCCCAGAGACAGAACCCCATAACCCTTCCTGCATGCCAACCACCTACTCCAGCCCTGACCTCCCTCCCAGAGCCAGCACTCCATACCTCCTCCAGCACCCCAACACTCTGTCCCAGCCCAGAGTCCCCTCCTGCACCCAAACTCCTTCCTGGAGCTTGCATCCCTCACCCCTCCTGCACCCCAACCCCCTGCCCCAGCCTGAGACAGGGGGGGGGGGAGAGTGAGCGATCGGGGGGGGGGGAGGATGGGGCTTTGGGGAAAGGGCAGGGGAGATCCTGGGTTGCCCTTAAATTCAGAAAGCGATATTGGGCTTAAAAAGGTTGGAGACCACTGGACTACAGAATCCTCTACTATCAGAAATCATCTCCCAATGCTATGGGCTTAACCTTAACCTTTTCCTTGGTAGACTACTTAGATTGAGCTTCTTAAATCTCTGGTTGAAAGGCAGGTATTCCTGTGGGTATTTTCTGAATCCTCATCAATTTTTCTATACCCTTTTTAGAATGGACTGGACACAGTATTCCAGCAATGTTGCAACAATGCAGGAAACTGAAGCAATACCACTTTCTTACTCCAACTCAATATCGCTCTATTTAAACATCTAATTATTGTGTTAGTTCATTTAGCAACAGCATTGCACTAGCAGTTCATGTTCAGTTGGTTATCCTCCATCACTCTTTAATGGTTTTGAGACACAATGCTTTCCAAGTTACAGTCTTCAATCCGACAAATTACATTATTTGCTCCAAAGAGTAGGTCCACAGTGAAGGCTCATCATGTGTTCTTACATGTGTTTTAGCCCAAATCCCAATACCATACTGTAGGAGGGCCAGACTCACCCCTGCGGCGCCTCCTGCTGGTGATCCAGGGAATTTGCTCACCAGCCCCTGGAGCACCCTCTGCAGGCCAGTGATCCACCTTGTCCTCATCTCTGGCCCCTGTGTCCCTCCCAGGACCCTGGTGCCCCTTGCTCTGGGTGCTGCCCCCTGGCAATACCCACACACTAGGTCTCCCCTCCCAGGGGAACACCACCCACTATCCCCACCTTGCCTCAGCACTAGGCCACTGCCAGTCACCAACTAGCCCCCGCTCCCTGGGGCAGACTGCAGTATCGGCTGCTCATCACTGGCAAGGGGGGTTTGGACCTGCTGCCTTGGCCTAGCCCTGGGCTGCCCTCTGCAACCCCCAGTACCTCTTGGCCTATTACCAGGCCGCAGCCTGGGGCTATCCAGGCTGGAGCTCCCCAGCTCCTCAGCCTTTCCCCAGCCCTGCTCCACTACAGGTACCCTGTCTAGCTCCCTGCAGTCAGCCCCTTCTCTCTCTGTAGGCAGAGAGAGATTGCTTAGCTGCCTGGCTCCCAGCCTCTTATATAGGGCCAGCTGGGGCCTGATTGGGGCGTGGCCCAGCTGTGGCTACTTCCCCAATCAGCCCAGTAGCTTTTTGCTTTGCCCCAGCCCTCTGCCAGGGCTGTTTTAAACCCCTCAGGCAGGAGCGGGGTAGCCACCCCGCTATACATACACACACAAAACTCTTAGTCACATGCTTATATGTGCTTCGAAGAAATGGTTACTCTGTGCAGTAACTGTGGTTCTTCAAGATGTGGCCCCCTTAGGGGGCTCCACTTTAGGTGTGCTAGAGCCCCCTGTGCCTTTCAAAAGAGATTCTCATAGCAGTGTCCTTTCAGTCCACCCATGCTTATTAGTCAGTCTCGTGCCCAGTGCCACTGTTATATAGCACTGAGTGGACAAACTGCTTTAAGTTCCTTCTGTATCATGAAGCTCCATGGCAGAGAACTCTGAAGCAGAGGGAATGCAGGGCAGGAAGTAGAGCACATGTAGGGGGACACATGTCAAAGAACCACAATAACTGCACATGGTGAGTAACCAATTTCTTCTTCTTCTTTAAGTAGTGTCCATACAGGTGCTCCACTCTAGATGACTACTGAGTGATATCCTCTAAGGCAGAGGGGGCTTCAGAATTGAGTCCAGTATGGAGGAAAGTACAGCCAAGCTGAAGTTAGTATCAGTGGCGGAGTCATGAGTTATAGCACAGTGTTTGGTGATCGTATGTATAGATGCCCATGTTGCAGTTTAACAGATTTCAATACTCAACTCATTCTTGAGCAAGCCTGTAGAAGTGGCAATGGAACTTGTAGAATGAGTTCATATTTCCTAAGGTGGCTGAATATTGAAAGACTGGTAACAAGAATTAATGAAACTTGATATCCACTTGGAAAGTTTCTGGTTAGAGATTGCTGACCCTTTTGACCCGTTTGTTAGCAAGACGAATAACCAGTGGGTCTTTCTGAATAGTTTTGTCCTATCTAGATAGAAGGCTAGGGCTCTCCTAATGGCAAAGGTGTGTAGCAGTGCCTCCTGGCAATTTAGATGTGGTTTGGAGTAGAAGACAGGCAGGCGAATGGGCTGGTTGATGGAACTTGGAAGAAACTTTAGGTAAGAATTTAGGGTGGGGCCACAGCATGATCTTGTCCTTAAAAACACTGTGAGGAGAGGTATGTCGTCAAGGCCTCTGTTTCTCCAACCCATCACGCCAATGATGGAATTATCACTGCAAGAATCACCATTCTGAATTTCTGTTCCTTCACACAGGTGTTGAGTACTCTTGGGTCTAGGATGGGTCTCCATCTTCTTCTCTTTTTTGGTACCAGGAAGTACCCTGAATAAAACCCATTCCTTATGTGCTGCATGGGGACTGTTTCTACAACTCCCAAGTATCAGAGAGAGTTTATTTCTTGACAAAGCAAGCATTTGTGAGAGGGGTTCCTAAAGAGGGATGGAGAAGGGGGATCCCTTGGTGGAAGTGAACTAAAGTGGATGGTGTATTCTGTGGAGAGAGGATCTCCAAAACCCACTTGTCCATAGTGATCAATTCCCACTCTTGCCTGAAGTGGTGAAGGTGGTCACTGAAGGAAGGAAGGCTGGTGAATTGGTGCAGCTGAAGAGGATAAGGATGGCAATTCAAGCACTCGACCAACCTATTAAAAATAGCTACTTGCAGGTGGATGAGTGTGGGTCGGGAGGCTGAGAAAAGGACAGTTTCCTTCCCTGAAATCACTGTCTCTTTTGGTTTGGCTCATAGGATCTCCAGGAGGTAAGGTATTGGATGGGGTGGGATGTCTGGGCTGTCTGGGACTTGCTGAGCTTTCTCTTGTAGGTGGGTGTATAAATACCAAAAGAATGCAAAGTAGCTCTAGAGTCCTTCAATGTTCGCAGGGATTCATCCGTGCTATCTACAAACAACTTAGACCCATCAAAAGGAAGGTTTCTCTACTGTACTCTGGATCTCTTTTGAGAATCCAGAGAGTTGGAGCCAGGAAGCTCTTCTCTTTACCACCACTATAGTAATCGAACGGTCAGCGGTATCAGCGGTGTCAAGGCAGGCTTGTAGGACTGTCCTGGCGAGTGGCTGGCCCTCCGCAATAATTTTCTAGTACTTTTTTCTGTGTTCTATTGGCACATGGTACATGAAAGAGTTCAACTTGGTATAATTCATGCAGTTGTATTTATCCATCTACACCTGATAATTGACGATTCTAAACAGTAAGGAGGCTGAGGAATAAGACTTATTCCCCGGGAGGTCCATATGCTTGTGATCTTTGTCAGAAGGCACGATTTTAGCATGGTGCTGCCTACCACATTCATTAACTGCATGAACTATCAAGGATGTAGGGGAGAGATGGGAAAATAAAAATTCCCAGCCCTTTGCCAGGACACAATATTTCTTATCCACT